ATATGGTCTGTTTTATTTTTAAATTAGTTATTTGCTTATTATAATATAAAAATAGTTTTAAAATATTTTAAATTTTGAAATCTTGAATTTCATTCACGACTCATCTCCTTTTTTTAAAAAAGGTTTTGAAATCTTGAATTTCATTCACGACTCAATCTCCTTTTTTTTAAAGAGCTTGTAGTATATAAATATCAAAATAATATTTGCCATGAATTTTTGTACTTTAAAAATTACATCAAAGATTTTGGAACAAACCTCGACAAGAAATGCAAGTCAAGCAAACCCTTTTAAATCTATTCTCCCAAATGGCACCATGCTGATCTCTAATCTATATTCCATAACTGGACCAATGTTTAATAAGAGAACAACTTTAAGAGCAAATGAGATTTTATCTCACTAAAAGAGAAAACAACTCAAAATCTTCATGGGAGCCGCTTCTCTACAAAAAATCAACCTCTCACTTTGTTAGAGTCTTCTCTTCATAGGAAGTTCTCTTCTCTCTAAGAGAAAATTACATCTTATGCACATGAGGCTCTGTCTCTCTTTCTAGAGGAACTACTATTATTATATGGTACATCTTATGCACATGAGGCTCTATCTCCCTCTCTTTCTAGAGGAAAAGAGAAAACAACTCAAAATCTTCATGGGAGCCGCTTCTCTACAAGAAATCAACCTCTCACTTTGTAAGAGTCTTTAGGAGGCATCATCAATGTTTCTCTTCATAAGAAGTTCTTTTCTCTCTAAGAGGAAATTACATCTTATGTACATGAGGCTCTATCACCCTCTCTTTATAGAGGAACTACTATTCTTATATGGTGACCCAAATAGGCTGTACGAATTCTCTACATTTTCATCCTATATAGATAAAGTTAGAAATCGATAAATTACATATATCTCAAAAGACCAAAAGATATATTCAAGAGTCCTAATCTTTTTTTATACCTTAGGAAACTTATCAATATCAATCTCAATCCCACATAATATGGGACTATCTGAATCCCAAAAAATATGGGATTTCCTTATGTAGGAGATTTTGGATAGCACAAAATCCAACAATAAAATAAAGTATGAAAAATAAATCATAAAACATATAACACAAGAATACAAATATTTACGTAGTTCATCCCAACAGGGTTATATCCACAGGCACGGCAAACTGAGATCCACTATACCAATGAAAGTTACATCAAAGATTTTGAAACAAACCTCGACAAAAACCCAAATCGACCAAACCCTTTCAAACATGCTCTCCCAAACGGCGCCATGTCGATCTCTCATATCTATAGTAGATCATTGTCTAGGAAGAGAACAACTTTGAGAGCAAACGAGACTTTTATTTCACTAAAACAAAAACAACTCAAAATCTTCATGGGAACCTCTTCTTTACAAAAAAACCTACATCATCAATGTTTCTCTTCATAGGAAGCTCTCTACTCTAAGAGGAAATTGCATCTTATGCACATGAGGTTCTATCTCTCTCTCTTGCACTAGAGGAACCACCATTCCCATATGGTGATCCAAATAAGGCACATGAATTATCTGCACTTTCATACCATATATATAAGATTAGGAGTCAATAGTAAATAGGAAACTTCTGATTCTTTTAGATTTCTCAAAACCACAAGATAAATTCTGAGAGTCCTAATCTTTGTGGATTTCTATTTCATTTAGGAAACTTACCAATATAAATCTCATTCCCACAAAATATGAGAATATCTCAATCCCATATAATATGGATCAATCTTAATCATTCCCACAAAATATGAGTTTTTCTTATATGGGTGATTTTGGATAGCACCAAATTCAACAATCTCCACCTTGATATCAAAATCACATGCTCACCATGCCAATATCTATTGGATAACTTCATAATTTCTTCCTCTTTTACCAAATAAATTTATTCATCATTCTTGCTAAACAATAGTATTTGCCATCAAATTTTTTCCTTGCATTTAAAAACCTTTATTGCCTTACCGAAAACCCCAAACCAGAGCTCTGATGCAACTTGTTGTGCTCTGATAGCACTTGTTGTGCACAGAAGCTCTAAACCTGATGGGTTAATATGTGGCAAATAAAATATGATAAATAAATCATGAAATGCAATAAGAACACAAAGATTTACGTGGCTGACCCTAGAAGGACTACATCCACAAGCACGAAAAACTGAAATCCACTATACCAATGAAATTTACATCAAAGATTTTGAAATAAACCTCGACAAATTCACAATCGAGCAAACCCTTTTAAAGATGCCGTCCCAAACGGCACGATGCCGATTCTTTCATATCTATTCCATTACTAGACCAATGTCTAATAATAGAACAACTTTGAGAGCAAACGAGACTTTATGTCACTAAAAGGGGAAACAACTCAAAATCTCCATGGGAACCACTTCTCTACAAGAAATCAACATCTCACAAGAGTCCTCAGAAGGCACCATCAATGTTTCTCTTCAGAAGAAGCTCTCTTTTCTCTAAGAGAAAATTGCATCTTATGCACAAACGGTTCTATCTCCTGCTCTCTGTAGAGGAACCACTATTCATTTATAGTGACCCAAATAGGGCACACGAATTCTCTGCACTTTCATCCCATATATATAAAGTTAGAAATCCATATTAAATAAGAAACTTCATATAGATCAACTTCCTATAAATCTTACATATATCTCAACAGACCAATAAATATATCCAAGAGTCCTAATCCTTTTTTGGATTTCTATTTCCCTTAGCAAATTTATTAATATAAATCTCAATAATATAAATCTCAATCCTACATAATATATGAATATCTCAATCTCATAGGATTTCTTTATGCAGGTGATTTTGGATAGCCCCAATTCCAACAAAAGATGATTTTGGATAGCCCTAAATCCAACAAAAGAATATAAGACTTTATAGAAAGAAAAGCTCTTGTGAAAAAGGAATATAAGGCTATTTTTATTTTTTTGTACTTTAAAATGAATCGACATAATTCAAAAAAGTATAAGACTTTATACCGAATCAATGATGTGGGGATGGTGATACAAAAATCACCTCCTATTTGACATTTCCCTCTTTGTTGATGGTAGTTTGGTCAAATACAAAAAGATGGTCGATTATAAAATAATAAAAATAAAAATAGCATGGCAAGCAAATTTGAGATTTCTAATCTCTATAAATCTCTATTAAATCTAAAAAGCTGATAATTTCATTTCCCATTGGCCGTGAATGTAGCCCATTTTTAGTGAACAATATAAATTGGTGTGTGCTCTTTGCTTTGTGCTTACGTTTTTATGTCCTTTCCTAAATTTGGTTACACATGTACATTTCCTTCGTTAAATATAACCCCATGTACTTCTCTTTGTTCTTCATTTCTTTTTTTTTTTCTTTTTTTTATCCACTTTAAACTAGTGATTTAAAAATTGTTAGGTCAGCATGGAATCACCCAGAATCGGTCACCCCATTACAATTCTACGTATATATAGCAAAACGGTCAAATATAGCAAAACAGTCAAAGAGAAAAAAACCGACAGTTTTGAACAGTAAAATGACTATTCTCTTCAATAGAACGGCAATCCAAACCACTGGATGCATCAGAAAGTAATTATTGAAGGAGGCTCCGCCAATGTCATCTCTAGCCTTGGAGGCTCAATGCAATCATGGATGAAATTCTTTAGGCTCTAAGTAACCGTGATCGCTCTTTTCTTTACTCTGAAGCGGTTTCATTAGCTAAGTTGGTTGATGCTCCTCTCTTAACTTCCTAGCTTTTGCTTAGCTGCTTTCTCTTTTTTTTTCTTTTTTTTGCTTTCTTGTGGTTCTATGTTGTTTTCTGTTTTCTTCTCTTTCTTCCTTTACCCTTTCGTCTTGTGACATTTCAATACCTTTAATGAATATCGTATTTACAAAAAAATAAAATTGGCCATAACCAACAGCTGAAAATTAGTCTCGTAATTTTTATTTATTTATTTATTTATTTATTTATTTAAATAAAGTGTAGCTATATTTTTCTTATAAATATAACTAAAATAAAAATGATTAAAAAATTTAAATAAAAATAATAAAAATATCTTCTAAATTTATTTTGATCAATTTTTCCATGTTAAACCATTTAGATTTATAACAGATTTTGACTTGAAATAGTAGTAAAAGAGTAAAATATTAAATAGTTGAAGAGGGATGAGAGAGAGAAGAGATGAAATCGTACCAGTAAGAAGAGATTTTAAAAGAGAAAAAATAAGACACGTGTTACAAAAATAAAAAGCATCCCTCTCGCTTAATATATAATGATAGTATGCTCTCATAAAAGTATGAAATATTTTTTTAATAAACCCAAGATCTTAAAAATTAACCTTCTTCCGAACAAATCCATCTTTCTCAGCTCAACATCAATTAAAGAACCATGTTATTATCCACGGTGTAAATAACCAATTCTCAATTGATGTTGGAACAAACTAGCTAAACCTCTTAAGATCTTGTCCAACAAACTAGCTAAACCTCTTAAGATCTTGGACTTATTAAAAAACATAATTCACTCATGTGAAAGTATACTATCATTATATATTAAGCGAGAGGGATGCTCTCTCTATTTTTTTTGTCAGGTGTCCCATTTTTTTTCTTTTTTAAATCTCTCCCTACCTTAAAGAGGGTTCTTTAATTGATATCGAAATGAACACGATGGATTTGATCATGAGAGGGCTTAGCCTCTTAAGATCCTGGGCTTATTAAAAAAATATTTCACACTCCGGTGGGAGCATACTATCATAAGCATGAGGGATGCTCTCTCTAGTTCTCAATTGATTTTGGAAAATACAATTGTTCAGAGGGGACAATGAAGAAGCCTCCGAAGTGTTTATGGATTCGGAAAGCTTCATATATGAACAGAAAATTTAAATGAACAAGATACGCAGCAGGAAAAGCCACCAAAATCCACCATATAAACTTCTTGCCGCCCAAATCCACCATATCAACTTCTTGCCGCCCAAATCCCCCCATTTTGTTTTGAAATATAAATAAATTCCTCTTTTACTGTGAATCCTCTGTGCCCATCGCTGGTAAAGAAGCAACCTGACCTCCAACACCGCCATCTATCGCGGCATTTTGCCCTTCAGTGTCTGCTAAAATGGAATCTGTATTGCTTGATTCTACATTAACAGACTCGGAAACTTCAGAAGTCGCCGTGATCTCTGCAGTGATTTCAGAACCAAGATTATCAGGATAGATGACAGCAGCTTCTTCTAGACGGGTTTCCTGAGCTTCAATTTGTTCAATAACTTTTTCACACTCATGGTGGTCCAATTGGGCTTCCACCTCTTCAGTAACAACAGACTCTGGAATTTCAGTTGGGTTTTCAATAAGAAGCCCTGGAAGCTCAACAGGCGGACAACACTCTTCTAATTCAATACCCTGACTGATTTCAGTGGAATTTGGCTCTTTGCTTTTATTCAAATTAGTGGAATCATCTTCTTTATCATTAGTAACTTCATAAATGATATTGTCCGCACTTTCAAGCTCAGAACCAACGACTGCAACTGCATTAGCCTCTGGACTACAGTATTCTAATTTGATATTGCCACCAGTATCAGTAGAATTCAGGTCTTTGCCTTGGCTCAACACAGTGACCTTAATATCTCTCCGATCAGTGACATCAGCCGTGGCACAGTCAGTACTATCAGGGTTGAAACCAACAGCTGCAAGCTCACTAGCCTCTGGACCATGCTTATCAGACTCAAGCACTTGGCCAATTTCAGTAGGTTCTGGGACTTCATTTTTATTCAAATTGGAGGGGTCATTTGCTATCTCACCAACGACGTCAGACCCCACATAGCATGCACTTTCAAGCTCGGAATCAACACCTGCAAGCGCATTAGCCTCCGGACTATGTGTGTCTAGCTCAAGATTTCGGCCAATTTCAGTGGACTGTGGTGCTTCACTTTTATTCAAATTGGTGCAATTAACTTCTCTCTCATCAGTAACATCGCACACGCCAATGTCTGCGCTTTCAATCTTGCAACCAACACCTATTTCAGTAGAAAGTGCCTCGCATCTTGCGGGATTATCTCTTCTCTCTTCACCAACATCACAAATGCCATTGTCTGCACTTTTGAGCTTGAAATTAAAAAGATCAATCATTTCGCAAGAATGCTCATCTGATCGTGCAGCCGTACGAGTATCAGTCAAGTTGGGCAAATCTGCCTCAGCTTGCTCACTCAATTGGCACACTGAGGGGGGAACAGAAGGTTGTAAGATGCCTCTCTGGTCATCTTCAGCTTGCATATCCATTCCCCTTCCAGTAAATTCCTGGGACTCCCTTTGATTCGTTTTGGCTTCCAAATCATGAGTGACTACTTGACAATCCCCTCCAATAACAGAAGCTCCTCCTACTTGTGTCTTATTAGTTTCAGTGTCAATGGCTCCCTCATCTGAAGACTCTTCCATCACAGAATTAGTTTGTTCAAGCAGAAGACCAACATCCTTAGTGACATCAAAAGCATATGAGAGTGTTTCAGCATCATGACCAATAGAAACTGATCCGTGATTTTGATCAGAATCGGTGATAATCTCATTAGGTTTGGAACCAAGTTCCTCTGATAGGGAACCCTGGTTACTAGACTGAGTTGCCTCAGCAACAATAACAAGCTCATTACCTCCTGAAGCTTGCCCATCTAATTTAATATCAGCCATTTCCGGAACCTTGCTTTGAGCTTTCAACACTGGAGTTTCCAAATTAACAATGTCTAATTGTGTTTGCAGCGGTTCCTTGCTTTGATTCTCCCTCGATGTATCTTCCAAATCATCCCCCCGCAAAGGGCTCTGCTCAGGTACATGGCTTTGACAGCCCCCATCTTTGACTTCTAATTTATCCCCCTGTAGTTTAGTTGGCAGTGGCACTGGAACCTTGATTTCAGCTTCTCTCTCTGTAGCTTCTAAATTATCCCCATGCAAATTGGTTTGCTCCAGTACCATGCTTTGAGGTTCTATTTTTGTAGCTTCCAAATTTGGGACCCGTAATAGAGTCTCCTTGGTTACCATGCTTAGAGAGTCTATATCTGTAGCTTCCAAATTGCCCCCCTGTAATTTGTCCTCTACATTTCTTTTGGCCTCTCTCTCTGTAGCTTCCAAATTACTCCCCAGTAAATCTATCTGCTCCAGTACCTTGCTTTGAGCTTCTCTCTCTCTAATTTCCAAATTATCCACCTGTATTCGAGTCCATACATCGACTTGGGCTTCTCCCTCCATAGCTTCCAAAACATTCCCTTGAAATTGGGTCTGCATAAGAACAATACGTTGAGAGTCTCTCACTAGATGTTCCAATATATCTGCTTGTGTATCAGCGAGCTCTGGTGCTGCCTTGCTTTGATGTTCACACTCTATAGCTTCCAAATTATCTACCTGTAATTGCATCTCTTCTGGGACCTTGCTTTGATCATCTCTCCCTTCAGCATTAAAACTATTGTCCTTGGATTGGATCTCCACACTAGCATCAAAGTTATCTCCTAGGGCTTCATCATGCTTGGCAACAACCTGGTCAGATCTCAGCTCCATGGTAGCTGCATCAGTAAGGACTGGTACTTCACTTTGATCAAGTTTTGGAATCTCAAGTGCCTCCTCTGGTACATCAGGACAGATTTCTCGCTCATTTGACAAACCTTGAACTCCCAAGTTTGGATGAGTCTGAATGGGTTCGGCTGTTGGAACTTGAGGAGATAGATCTTCTGCTGCTTCTATAGCTACTGCTGCATTATCAGACACATTCACTGCATGGGAATCTTTACCTGAAACTACGTCAGCTACTTCTGGCTCATGAATCGCAGGTTTAGGGATGTCAATATCAAGGTTGTGCCTTTCAACTTCCTGGGTAACAGATTCTGAAGAAACCATATTAAATTCTGATGATATAGAAGCACTCACAGGAACTGTCGATTCCTTTTCCAGTGATGGAAAACGCTTGAAATCTTCTTCTTTGGGCTCTGTTTTCTCTCGGTTGGGATCAGTAGAAGCCTTCTCTGGTACTGATAGCACAATTGACACAGATTGCTGAGTACATGAATGAGCTTTCTGTGGGGAGTGACTCTTTTTAGAGTCATCAACTGGTTCCTTTACACTCCTAGGTTCATCAAAATGATGGCTTTTAACACTTAGAACAGGGTTCCTTTTAGTGTCTTCAACTGTTCCCTTTCCAACCCCAGGTTCAACATGATGATCATTTTTTTCACTTACCACAGGGGCTTTTTTAGTGTCTTCTACTTTTCCCTTACCAACAACAGCTTCAACAATAAGAGGAATCTTATCACTTATCACAGTAGTCTTTTTAGTGTCTTCAACTGATACGTATCCAGCACCGGCTGCAACACGAATAAGGCTTTTGTCACTTACCACAGGGGTCATTTTAGTGTCTTCAAGAGATTCCTTTCGACCACCAGATTCAACATAAGCAGGGCTTTCATCAACTGCAACAGAGGTTAGATCAGGGGAAACCTGCAAAGTCATGCTGGAAGGAGTGTTGACAGCACCAATGGTTTGGGTCCCTAATGAAGATCCAGTTTGAGATTTCTTCTCTTCCTCTACGGTTATAAGGCTCACAGCATTGCCATCAGCTGGGATTGATTTATCTTGAACACCCTTGACTTTAGAAGCTTCCTTGTGTATTAATCCACTGCCACTTGTATGGGAATCACATTCAGGCATTGAAGACGCACTGGTACTAAGCTTCATATCCATATTAGCTTGCCTGAGAGATTCAGATTGTTTAGCTGGGCTTGGCCTCTGCTCAATTCTAGTATCAGAAGAAGATTGAACTCTTATATGTTTCCTTTCACCCTGATTAGGAGGCTGGCTAGGCAAAGCATCTCTAGGTGACTCAAGGGCACGTGCATTCTTGGCTTTAGGAGCAGCTTCTTTATCAACAGGTCCTGCAACTTTATTCCTGGAAGCCCTCTTAACCACAGGGCTAGGTGTTACAAGATTTCTTTGCTCTTGAGGAAGAGTGGTGTATAGTGAAGTATTGGCTGGAACCGACTGGACAACCCTTTGAACCCCGGAAACAGGGTTGGTCCCAAGAGCAACAGAAGCTCTAACCAAAGTTATGGGTGCATTAATCCCTTGGGGTTTCTCTTGGGTAAGGGAAAAACGCAGAGGACTAGATGAAACAATGCGACGTTCCTCCTTGGTCACGAATCCAGACATTGAGTTATTAGCTTCAGCACTGACCACAGGTGAATTTGAAGCACCAATTTGTTTCCTGCCTCGTTTTCGAGGAGTCTCTGATGATCCGCGTTGCACCCTCTTGGTGGGTCCCTTTATAGGAGGGGTAAAAATGGGGCCAGGAACAACATCTTTGGCAAGACCCACTTCTATTTTGGGGGTCCCCTCTTCAAGTTTGGAAGGCCCCATCTCAATTTTAGGAGGCTCCATTGCATATTTGGAAAGCCCCATCTCAATTTTCGAAGGCCCCACTCGTATATTAGCAGGCCCCAAATCAACATTGGGAGGGCCTATTTCAATTTCGGGAGGACCCACATCTAGTTTTGAAGGCCCTGCTTCAATTTTTGGAGACCCAACATCTATTTTAGGAGGCCCCACATCTGTTTTGTGGGGGGGCACATCTACTTTTACAGGCCCAGCCTGTGTATTCTTTGCTCTGGTTTTAGCAGCGGGAGAAACTTCAGTGCCTCTCCTCGGCCTTCCTCGCCCTCTCTTAACAAGTGGTGGCGCTGGTGCTTGTGTTGGTGTTGGTGCTGGTGCCGTTGCCGTTGCCGGTGCCGGTGCCGGGGCTGGGGCTGGGGCTGGGGCTGGGGCTGGGGCTGGGGCTGGGGCTGGGCCGGTGCCAGTGCCGATGCTGGTGCTCGTGCTGGTGCTCGTGCCTGTGCCGGTACCGGTACCGGTACCGGTACCGGTGCTCGTGCCAATGTCGGTGCCAGTGCAGGTCCCTGTGCCGGTGCCAGTGCTGGTGCCGGTGCCGGTGCCGGTGCCGATGTTGGTGCTGGTGCTGGTGCTGGTGTTGCTGCTGGTGCTGCTGCTAGGATTGGCTCATTGGCATCAACCACCTTTGTCAAGCCATCAACCTCTTTTGTCTCCCGAGAATCCTTAGATGCTTCCTGTGGTTTGGGGGATTCAGGGGATTCAGCCTGGCACATCTTTTCAAATTCTTCCTCTGTCCATTGATCTTCATATGAACGAACCTGTGGAAGGAGTAATACCGAAAGCATTAGAGAATATTGAACACCATGAAAATGGACAAAAGGAAAAAAGGAAGTATAACACAGCCCAATGCACATTGGTCCATCCACTGTCCACTTGCATAGATGGATGGCTTGAGACTAATTGGAGTGGAGCCCATAGTGACATCCATGTGGACAATTGATCTCCAGCCATCCATCTACTAGTGATGTACCCTTGGGGTACCATTTACTATAGGCAATTGTATTAGGGTGCACATTCTACGGAATTCTAAACTGTGATTTGGAGAATGGGTGAAATCCACCAACCTCTCGAGCTCTTTTGCCCCTTCCATACTGTTGAACGTCAAGAACTCCAAGATGCTCACTTTTGTGCTTTATTCCTATATTGGCCGTCTCATATAGCTTCATGGCATTATAAAATGACTTCAAATCCTCTTCAGTTACAAGCCGAGATGGCAACACCAAGGGCTCAGAACGATCCTTGTTCCATGACTGCAACTTTTGCCATTGTGCCTGCAGTGCAGAATTTAAAAAAACTACTTCATCAGACAGGTATATGATTCTTCATTTTTTTTTTAAAGATGAAATCTTTGATCTTAGACAGATGAAGCATTTTAATCTTGACGACTGACACAAGCACTGACCATCTCATCTTCACTCCTTTGTTTGTCAATGGATTCAAAAACATCAATCTCTGACTCACTGCCAACAAAGAAGAGCCAACCAATCCAGTACGTGTTAGTTGTTTGGTCAAATGCCAGAAAATGTGTTACATTATATTATTCCTCAGATGAAAACTATAAGACGACATTTATAAACTGCTAAAATGAGTATCTTAGAAGGGAAAATGTATGGTAATCCAAAGAAGAATTGTATGAGCTCCAAACAATGCATCCACCATCTATTCCTGCTGACAGCAAGATTAACTATGGTGAGGGGGTGGTTGGGAACACCAGGAAATTCACCAAAATACAGTTAATCTCCAATGTCCATCAGCGAGACAGACAGTGAATGCCTCTTCAGACTACCATTCCCATCCTAGAATCTAGAAAATAGTCAAGTCAGAAGGTCACAATGAAATTCACCTGCGAGCCAAAAGATAATTCAGGGCACCGTCATCTAAAACTTGAGCGGCTTCTTCCTTTTTGCACTCCCGGAGGAGAGCTTCCAAATACTCCCTTCGATCTTCAGCACTGTAAAACAAAGGATCCGCATATTAATGTTTGGAGATGTTAAGTAACCATATACTGTAACATTCATTAGAACAATGCTATGAAATTTACCTGGTATTGTTGTCAAAGAAACCAGCAGTAATGCTCTGATTGGCTACTCCAAGCTTGTGTTCTGCTGCAGCTCTGACTTGTTCTTCTACAGTTTGTACCTGAATTTAGAATGTGAAAGGTACTTAATATAGGTAAAAAGTGTATTTAATTGGCAATGTTTTATTTATGATGAACTTACAACTCAATTCTATAAATTTTAAATTATAATTAGAATAAAAGATGCATAAATAGCCAAGATGCTTCAAATGCAGCAGCAACATCTGATGAAGTAGCATACTCAATGATTCCAAAAAAAAATACATCTTAATTACAGGAAACTCTTAATGGGAAAGCATTTTTCCTTCCGAAAAACAAACACTTTCTCAACATTTATTATGCACTTTCTAAGTAAGATTGTTTCTTTCATTGATCTTGCTCCTACTCTTGCAGCAGCTTCCTATGCATTTTGGTAACTAGTAACATCAACTCATATAAGTCAAGCACTACTAACATGAAGGGGGGTTATGTTAGATACGGCAACCAACATAAAACTTTGCCACATATTTCATGAATCCTAAACCTATGTTATATGCTCATGCTAGGGCGATCCCTGTAAGCGACGCATTGTATCGGAACCCGGATGCAATGAAAAATGAGTAAGGTTTAGCTAGGGTGTTTCCTAGAAGTGATGCGCCACAACAACCCCTAGTTGCAGTGATAAGAAACTAGCCTAAGATAATAGGATTCGTCTAGCCACATAGAATGTAGGAAATCTAAAATGTAAGAATTTGGATTTAGTGAATACAATAATATGAAGGACAGTTAACATAGCATGCCCACAGGAAACTAAGTAGAAAGGGACAGAAGCTAAGAAAATTGATGGATATAAACTTCGGTATATAGGAAAGGGTATAGAAATAACATAGCCATAATAGTAAACAAATATTTAAAGGATAGTCGTTGAAGTAAAAAGAGTAGGTGATAGACTCCTATTAATTAAACTTGAGTTAATGGATGAGATAATTAATGTAATTAGTGCTTATACGTATGGTTTTAAAATACAGCTGCAAAATGCATTATGCGCTGGCAACCGCATCACATGAGGCCGCATATGCGCTTTGGAGGGATGTTCCCACATATGCGCAGCATCCCTCCGCATATGCGACCGCATCCCGCATAGCCCACATATGCAGCCAGCGAGTGATGTGCAAAAAATCCCCTTGAGAAGGGGTATTTTAGACTTTTATGCCCCGAAAAAGGGGGGAAAAGGTTGGGGGGATGGGAGGTCCCACCAAACCACCAAAAACAGCTGCATATGTGGCCTTTACTTCATCAAATCGAATTAAAAAAAAAAAAGTGGCAGAAATTTATGTTTGTGCAATTCTTAGATTTTTGTCTTGATTGATCTCTGGCTGTTGGGTGTCGATTTGACGAAGTTTTAGCAAAATTTTGACAACATATTGAGGGTTTCAAGGGCCGAGAAGAAATTGATATTTGCTTCAAGTAATGGGTAACTTTTTTTTTTTCTACTACGGTAATACTTTTATTGGGGGTAATGTCTTCTTAACAATCTTCTAGTAACAAGGATCCGGCTCGGAATATGCAAAACTAAAAAATCCGAAAGACAGAAATTGTGCTATCTGTATGCTTTGTTGAAATACTTATTTGAGGGGTATTTTTCAGCAAAAAGAACATTTAGCCGGTATTTATGGGAAAGCAAGAGCACACCCATAAGCTACTAAAACTAAAGAGATAAAAAAAGAGATTAAAGAATACATGGATAGCTTGAAAAAACAAAAAGAGAAAAAAAAAATGAAATGAAAAGAATTAATTGATGAAAAAAAATGAAACGAAAAGAATTAATTGATGAAATTCAATTATTTGATAATGACGAAGATGATGAGGATATCTCGGAAGTGTGAATGAAAAGGGGTACTCCAATGTCAATTATAGTTTTGGGTAGTCTTAGGCTCCCCCCTTCAATGGGAGCAGTCTGATCCAACTTTCTTTTATTCTTTCGCTCGGGGCCATCGCTTGTAACAACTGTAATTCTTAATAATACAATGTTAACATTCTCAAAAAAAAAAAAAGAGAGAGAGTTCTAAATATTGGTGGTAGTGTTGGGAAAAAAATACCTCTCTAAGGGGCCAATGGATACTTTTTTACCCCTTACCCCAAAATTGTGGCTCAAGAGAGGAGGAAAAAAAACAAAACAAACCACAATTGAAACTTGATACAAGAAAGAAGAGAGGAAGAAGGTATGTAGGTACATTGCAAAGTAGTTTTACATTGACAGTATTCCTTTTAATACTATAGCCCTCGATAGTTTTGCATGTATGGTCTAGGCAATTAAGCAATTTGGCACAGGACTTAATCCCCCTACACTATATGAAATTATGGAGCCCTTATTGAAGGATGTGATATCCGATGTTAACAAATTTTGATTTCTCAAAGAGAAGGGTGGGAAAAGTATGGGCAACTATTAAATGTGATGGATGGTCCGATGGGAGGTCAAGGCATTCATTAATTTTTTGGTTAACTATCCAACAGGCACTATTTTTGTTAAGTCTACTGATGCATCAGACAAGTCACATGATGCTACATACTAATGTGACTTGACATATGAGATTGTAGAGTTTGTTGAGGAGAAACATGTGGTACAAATTGTCACTGATAATGGTGTCAATTACGCTACAACAGGGCATTTTTTTACTATAAAGAGGATGCATATGTTTTGGACTCCTTGCGCAGCACATTGTGTCGATCTCATGCTTTAGGAAATGGGTACATCTATATTTAGTGGGTGATTTCAAAAGCTATGTTTGTTAGTGGATTTATTTATAATCACACCATAATCCTTAGCATGATGAAGAGTTTTACAAAGAAAAGAGATATAGTGAGACTGGGTGTCACTAGATTTGCCACATCATTTCTCACTCTTCAAAGCTTATGCAAGCAAAAAAAATGTCTTGAGGACCATGTTTGCTTCATAGCAATAAAGTAAAAGTAAGTGGTCAAAGCATCGGGATGGGAGAAAGGCTGAACAAATTATTTTCAATACATCTTTTTAGAATCAGTATATCATGCATTGGAGATGGCTAGCCATTTAGTGAGAGTGCTTCGATTGAATGATGGTGAAGTAAAGTCTGCCATGGGCTACATATATGAGGCAAGGACTAAGGCAAGAGGATAGATAAAAAATTCTTTAAAGGACGATGAAAATAAATGCAAGGCTATACTTGGAATTATTGATAGGAGATGGGATAACCAGCTTCACAAGCACCTCCATTCAGTCGGTTACTTTCTAAATCCATCTCTTCACTACAAGCACCCAGTCAATGAGTCTGATCGTGTAATAAATTGTGGGTTCTTAGATGTGCTTGAGAGGTTGGTCCCTAACAAAGATATCCAAGATGAGATCCAGAGCCAAGACTTAATTAAGTTCAAGTTAGTATTGGGAAACTTTGGGAGAGAGATTGCTACTCGAAACAAGGCCACTACAGATCCAAATAAAGGCCAAAAGTACCCTTTCTAATTTCTATTTTGTTTTCTTTATAGTTTTTTACTTTTATAATGTATAGTTCCAATTATATAAATAATTAAATATTTATCTAAAATCTAAATTATAAAATGTTATACAGCTGCATGGTGGGCATTGAATGGAAGCGAGACACCAAAGCTACAACGTCTCGCTATTCGAGTGTTGAGTCTCACATGTAGCTCATCTAGTTGTGAACACAATTGGAGTGCATTTGAGCATGTAAGTCCTTAATCCTTGTTTCTTGGATTTCAAAATTAATTTTCTAAAATCTAACTCATCTAAAAAGTGTAAAAGTAGAAGGTAGAAACAAGAAAATAACATATGTTACTTTTGCATGTTTCCTTGTTTTCTACCACAACTCCATACCAAAAAAAAAATTAGGTTGGAGCTGAAGAAGTTGAATGATTTGGTTTATGTGCAGTACAATTAGTGGCTTAGGGAGAGGGTATCAAAAGCGCATGGATCGAAACCCTATTCAATTTTATGAAACTGATGGTGATTTCATGTGCGAGTGGACCAAGGATCCACAAGTAGAGCATGTGTTTGAAGGTGAGGATCTTACTTGGCTTGATGTCGAGCTAGCCATAGGGGCTAGTGAAGAAAAACGGCCTAACACTAAAGCACAAAGAAGTACAGCTGGGTCCAGTCGCACATCAACTCCAGAGGTCGAGGAGGAGGAGGAGGAGGAAGCTAACTCAAAGGAGACCAAGGAAGAAGAACATTATGTGGAGGCCGCCAACGATGATAGTGATGATGATTGCACATGGAGACTCTCAAAACTTGTTGGATTAGGATTTGAAATTTAGAATCTCAACACTTGAGAAATGATAATGATTTGGCTTGACCTTTTAACTCCTTAATCTTCATGGACTTTTCGTATGTATTTTGCAACTTTAAAGTTTGTGGTTGCAAATTTGTGATTATGATTGTTGAATGATTTATAAAGCTAGTTTCAAGTTTCTACTCTCTACTTTCTAATGTCTTCTATGATCTATCAGGGGATAGTGGATACAGAATCTCCAACAGCTGATACTTTTGAAGTTAATTAATAAACTAAATACCTACTATTACATAAATCACCTCCATATTTTTTTATGCATTATCCTTTTTTTAAGACTTTTTAGAATTTTTTATATTTCTTGACCGCATCGGGGTGATGCATCCGCATCGTCGCATCGGTCCCCCCCAACGTATCGGGCTACATCTCGCACTTTAAAACACTGCTTATATGCCACAGGTAGGACTGGAGGAGGGAATTAAGAGACAACTCTGGGAGGACATGAACGGAGTAGTACAAGGAATACCAAATGGAGAGAGGATTATTTCATGAGAAGAATTAAATGATCATGTAGGAAAATATAATAAAGGATATGCTAGGGTAAATGGAGAATATGCTTTTAGGGAAAGAAATGAGATGGGTGATGTTATTTTGGATTTTGCTATTGCTTACAACTATAGTTACCCGAATAGCCCACTGGGGTAGCGATTCTTTTCGGAATCTCGATTCCGCCTTTCATAGAACGAAACTTGAATCTGAAAGAAGGAATCATGTTTCTAAGTTTCTCAAATGCGATTCAATTTAGTTTATGAATCTCGGTTCCTAGAAGCTTGGAATCAAGATTCCATATCGCAAACTTTGTAATTCTTAGCTACAAAACAATGTGATTCTCCTTGTGCGAAACGTTGATTCCAAATTTTTAGGAACTGCGAATCCATATTGTTTGGAATCAAGGTTCTATATCGCAGACATCGTGATTCCTAGCTACACAACAATGCGATTCTACTTGTGCGAAATGTTAATTCCAAATTTTTAAGTTAAATCAATCATTAAATATCTGAATCACTCAATTTTCAAAAGTCAAAACTACATTTAACAAAGAGGAATTTCTATGTCATCTACTTATTTTATAATTCAAGGAAAGGAGATAGAGAGAGCTCGCCCTTGTTCTCACTAATTGTATGTCGTAGACCAGCTCCAAGCCTTTTAGGTGAAGGGTTGGTTGACCGAGTTCATTGTATGGGATTGTTGACAGAGATATCATAAAGGTTGACATTGATAATTGGACTAAATATATACAAACCAAAATTCAATCTTGTAATAGTGATAAATTTTAAATATTTTCTGAATACTTCTCTCATATACCAAAGGGGACTAGTGTGCAATTTCAATATGGGGAGAATTTCGATTCTTGAATGGTGAGAATCTTGATTCCAAGTTGATGGGGACAACGATTCCAAAATTTTAGGAATCACGATTCTATACTTTTAGAAATCACAATTCTAATCTCATCGGGTCGCGATTCCAGAATCTAATGAACCATGTGGGGTCAAGTGCGATTCCATATAGGTATGAAACTCGATTCCAACATGAAGGGACATCGATTCTTACAAATAGGAAACACAATTCCTGTTTCATTGGACCGCGATTTCGATATAGTGCGAATCAGGATTTGTAATTCCGAATTAATAGAAAACTTCTTATACACGCGATTCCGTGATTCCGATTCCTGAAACAATTCAAAATCACAGGCGTTTCCAACAACTATAATTACGACCTAGTAATAGAAAACACCTAGTTTAATAACCAAGATGAATATCTAATAACTTATAAAAGTGGATCATATAAAAGCCAGATAGACTTCTTTCTAGCTAAGAAGGCAGATCGACCATCATTTAAAGACTATAAAGTCATCCCTAGAGAGAATTTGACTATGCAACATAGGCTATGATGGATATTTGCATAAAGAAATGGAAGAGGAATGCAAATTAATAGGGACGAAAGAACTAGGTGGGAGAATTTAAAAAGGGAGAAATAGACTTCCTTGGGAATAAATTGGTAAAAGAAAGAAAATGGAATTTTGAGCATGAAGTTAATATTATATGGAATGAAATGGATGATTGTATTAAGAAAGTGGCAAAAGAAGTTCCAAGTGAATCTAGAGGGAAAAGAAGTGATGATAAGGAAAACTTAGTGGTGGAGTGATGAGATTCAAAAGGCTATTAGTGAAAAACGATCATGTCATAAAGCGTATCAATGTATTGATCCAAACTTAGAAGAATATAAAAATGATAAGAAAAACTCTAAGATAATACTAAGCCTAAACTTAAAGCATATGATGATTTATACAATAAATTGGGGACAAGAGAAGGTAAAAAAGATGTTTTCAGATTAGCAAAAAAGAGAGAGAGGAAGTGTAAGGATCTAAATCATATTATATACATTAAGAGAGAGGATTAAAAGGTGTTGGTGAAGGATGACGAGGTCAATAAAAGGTGGCAAATTTATTTTTAAAATTTTCACACACAATTTGGTAGCACGGCGTTAATAAACCTTTTACATAAATGAGGTTGGAGGCCATAGATACATTCGCAGGTTTAGGATATATAAAGTAAAAAGTAGCTTTGAGAAGGTAGAAAAGGACTTAAGACTAGATAGCATCCAGATAGAGGTTTAGAAATGCATGGAAAAGACTGCCATAGTCTGGCTAACCAAGCTATTCAACAAGATGTTGACAGCAAAGAAAATGCCAAATGAATGGAGAAAAAGTATTGTCGTACTTATTTACAATAATAAATGAGACATAGAACTGTACGAACAATCAAGGAATTAAACTTGTGAGCCACACTATGAAGTTATAGGACTGAGTGATTAAGCAATGATTAAGACATGAAACGAGTATCAGAAAATCAATTTGGCCTTACATCAGGGAGGTCAACAATTGACTATTTTCCTGCGTAGGCAACTGATTGAGAAGTTTAGGTAGAAGAAAAGAGACATCCACACGGTTTTTATTGATATAGAGCAAGCATACAATAGGGTACTATGAGTTAAATTGGTGGGTGTTAGAAAAGAAATCAGTATCTAAAGGATATATTGCCGTAGTGAAAGATATGTACGAGGGAGCACTAACTAGAGAGAAAACAATTAGTGGAAAGACAAGTGATTTCTCAATGACAGTAGGCTACATCAGGGGTCAGCGTTGAGCCCATATCTCTTTGTTTTAGTTATGGACGAGTTAACTAGGCATCTACAGGATGAAGTACTATGGTGCAAGTTGTTTGTGGATGACATAGTTTTGATTGATGAAACTAGAGACGGCATCAACACAAAGTTAGAACTTTGGAGGGATACTCTAAAATCTAAAATCTTTAAAATTAGCAAGATCAAGAATAATACGTAAGTAACGTAACACAAGTTTAGTAATAGCAGGAGTAAAAAAGAGGAAGTAATTCAGATTGATAACTAAGAAATACCTAAAAAAGATTATTTTTGATATCTTGAGTCAATAAATTTAGGAGAACGGAAAGACTGAGGAAGATGTCGTGCATGGAATTAGCGTAAGGTGGGCAAAGTGAAGATGTACATTCGGAGCTTTATGTGATCGTCGTATATACCAATGAAACTGAAGGAAAAGTTTTATAGGATAGTTGTAAGACCAGTCATGTTTTATGAGACGAAATGATGAGCAGTCAAGAAACAACATATTCATAAGACGAGTGTAGCTGAGATGACGATGGTGAGATGGATGAGTGGCACGATAAGAAAGGATAATAATTCGGAATGGATACATATGAGGGAACATAGGAGTAGCTCTAATAGGCGACAAGATGAGAAAAAGTAGACTTAAGTGGGTTGGCCATTTGCAACGTAGACCTAATACAGCACCAGTTAAGAGGGACAATTTGTTTCAAATGAACAGCTCTAAAAGGACAATGGGCCCAAAACGACATGGATGGAAATAGTGAGAAGAAATATGTTGACTTATAGTCAGATTGAGTGTATGGGCCTTGATAGAGAAAAATGGCGGAATAGGATTCGTAATAGCCAACCCTAAATAGTTGGGATAAGGCTCGGCTGATTATAAAGATGAATAAACATTCTTTCCTTATTACCTTTTCATCAACTCATTGTTCTTTAACTTGCCTTCTTTTAAATTCCATGCTAATGCTAGTGCCACCAAACCCTCCTAATCACAAACAGGCTATGCCAAACCCATACAAAACCAAGATCTACTGTTGTGAAAGAAATTTACAAATAAATATATTGCAGTGTGTACTAGTCCTCTATATATCATAATGTATCAATTCATGAACTTTTTTTGCTATTTTTTTCTTTTCCAGTGTTTTCAGGTACTGTTTCTGTATTAGAAACCTCAGTCTTTGATAGTTTTAAGTTTTTAGAAACCTTAATGTGCAATGGGATCTGGACATCATGGTCCTGAGCACTTCTCAAACCTGATTTTTCAATTTTTGGCACTATCTTACCATACAAAAAGGAAAGAAACAAAAGCAAATCTTTGCATGCAACTGGGTGTCATAATACTCAACTGTTTCAAACCGCAGTACAAGTACATCTTTCTTTTGTCCAATCCTATGAGCCCTAGCCTGTGCCTGCAGATCAACCTGGAGAAACATCCCAACAACAAATTAGCATGGTAAAATGAATTAAAATCTCCTTTGAAACTGCCTTAGGAAAACAAAAAGTTGAAAAGATTATGGTGTTTGATTCATTGCCTGAGGATTCCAATCAGTGTCAAATATGATGACAGTATCAGCAGCTTGAAGATTAACTCCAACACCACCTGCCCGAATACTGAAAACAAATACAGAAAAAGTCAGTGTGGAGGCTTAATTAAATGGTGTTAATACATTTGTCTTCGCCAGGCAGACAAATATTTGATATCAGACATTTTCCTTTGGAGAAAAAACAGACATACAATAACCACCTTAATAGAAATATAAAAGCAGAAGAGTCGGGCCTATTGAAGTCCTCGATAAGAGCTCCACGCTCACTTCCAGAAGTATGACCATCCAATCGAAGATACCCGTACCCTTTCCAACAGAGATAGTCCTCCATCACATCAAGCAACCTAGTCATAGTGGAGAAGAAGAGAACCTGCAGCAGGATGTGAGTTCAAAACAGTGTCAAGTTGTCCACACTCAAATGCCAAGTGACCAGGCTCAACATAGTGACATTGCAGTTCACATAGTGCTTTTCTTTTTGGCATGGCATGTGAGACCAGTACAAGGGCATCCCTGGAGATTCCCATCCTAGTATCAATTTTAGAATGTATATTTAGCATAGGGGTTCAGAAGGTAACAGATACTTGTGATTGTTTAACAGTTCACTTTCTTTAAAATCCTTCGCAGATGAACAAAATAGTTTATAAGTAGTGAAGAGAACATGAAAACAAAAGAAATAAAAAAAATGTACTGCATGACCATACGAATAATAAAAAGTGATCCAGGAAATTCTAATCCCAGTTAGAAAAGAATCTATCTGCTATGCAAATGATACACAAAATCAATTCATTCAAATCACCAATCGAAGACTTAAAAGTAAGAGAATGAACATCCTCAACAACACAAGGATAAATATATCATATTATAGTGCAAGACTTCAGTTTTATCATATCAAGTTAATATGAGTAATTGGTATTCGCTGGTGATATGTGACAGATTAGACTAATTGATCCACGGTCGATCATTAGTCTTTCGGATCTTATTGGCCATACCCCGTGTGTGTTCCTTCATCTGTTCTTATTTTCCTATTGTCCACGCTCTATCCAGGTATCACCATATATTATGAAGCATCAAAAACGATACCTCGTACTCCAAGACAGCATAATAAGAATATCATACGGGCAGGTGCAACTGGTTGTAACGAGAATAGGGGGCACTCTATTTAGGACAATTAATTGTTAAACCGAGATCAGCTCAGTAAAATATCTGAATCCATGGCGCTTACTGGAACATAATATTTAGGTATCAGGCATCTCTATATGCAATAATACACCATCGGTTGGGAAGTTAGGGGTTTAAATGACTCTGATAACAAAGTGCTCACTGGACCCAATGTTGGAAGGGAATGAATTGCAAATATTGAGCGGCCCAAACAGGATGTGGACGTTACAAAAATGGGAGGCTAAACCAATGGCTAGTGGCAGGAAGTGGAGGGTGATTTTCATGTTTCTTTTTTCCGGAAAATCTGGATTGAAAGACTTGTACCAGTGGTCAGGAGAAACACTACTCCAACAAATCCCTGAGATGGTTGCATGCCGAAGGTTTCTGACGTAGAAGTCCAGGTTACCAGGGTCCTACACACAAGGTGTTAAGGATGAGTGCCATCACTAAGTCCTTATTTCTCAGGTCATGATGAAGGAATTGCCCTCATGACAGGGTTGTTGTGGACTGTAGTCATTCTTTTCATTCGCCAAACATAGAATTCCTCTTGCACATGGCCAATATATTTTGACAATGTTACTAGGTTGTATAGACAGAATCAGTATTCTACATCACTACTAAAATGTACATAGAGATTAGAAACAGGTTTTATATACGCCTTGGCAGTGTTCCAAAAGGAGGCCTGCCACAGGGCCTAGGCAGCAGCCTTGAGGTGGAGTGGAATTAATCCACCCATCTACATTGAGGCCACGGGCAGCCAGCCATAGTCAGGCATCCAAGAGGTAGCACCCTTGGCACCCTCACCTCCTGCACCTCAGCCACCGCATCCCAACTTCACCCAGGGGGAAAAACCCTTCGGTAAAGGTTGAAATTGCCATTTCCCTCCCACTTAAGGTGAGAAGAAAGGACAAGGGTACGTACTTTTTTGGTGCATGAACACACTTTACTCCAATATTATGTTGTTTTGATCAGTTCTGTACTTTGTGGTCATGGAGTCATCATCAACCATAACTAATTAAAAAAAAAAACAAGTCATCGTTAGCCACTCACACCATTTATAGTATTTATTTGTCATCCCACATTGATGTCTGTTCTCTTTAGGTTCCTTGGTCGTGTTATGCCAGTCTATCACTGCAAACACACAAAATGATCACACACCTTCACAACCATCACCGACTCAAGGGGAGAGACATTTTTCAACACAACACGTGCAATTATATACAGTTCAATCTTTTTGTTAGAAATAAATGAAAATTATTATTATTATTTTCACTTTTTCAAAGTGAAAAAAATTTCATTTTAATAAACGAAAATTAAATTTTAATAGAAAGCAGTATTCTTGAGCCACAACAAATTTGAGGCAGCCACCAGGACCCCTGCCTGCATGGACACCGCCTCATACCTTGACTACAGTGGTCCCTGCCAAAATGGATCTCAGTACAAATCTTGCTAAGTTGTAAAAGAAATCCCATTTACTGCATTGTAACTATTTAGATCATTGTATTGTACAGGTGCTTATCCAAATGGAAGAGTAAAGAAGAAGAAAAAACCGAAGAACTGTTGCTAATCACGCCACCAGCCAGACCAGCTCTATGCATCAGTAAGTGCCATGAACTAAGGTTTACACAATCCAGGACTGATTATACTTAAGGTACAATTCTTCATCCATTCAAGAGATTTGATGGACGAGTAAAGAACAAATAACTAGCTGCGTATATAATGCCGTATGGCCAAGAAAAACCAATGCTTTATAAGACTAGATGTACTTCTAATACATCTGCTTCCTAAGGAAAATCAGAAATCAATCATTCAACAATGCAACACTTTGATAGCCAGCGATATATGATTCCAATTCGAGCACATCCATGTGGGAAGGGGCCCTAAACTGGTCATCAACAACTTTTGAGACATCCAAGTGCTGGGTCAATTCCTTTCATTTTACAACATATTCCACATGTTGCTATCTTCTCTTTTCCCTAGTAGGTTGGTGACTAGGGGAATCGGAACCTAAATTGGACAACCACACTTGAGAAGGCATGTCTGCTTCAATGAACCAGAAGATCCATTTAAATTTGATTACTTTATAAAAATATGCATGTGTGGGTGAAAGATGTAGAACACGTACGGTTTATGAAGTACAAAATTTTTAGCAACTAAACTGGCAAGTCTACTCACAAGTGCCACTTACAGCTCAAAAGCAATAAAATAAAGCAATTACAAATCAAGGATCCTCACTTACTGCCATCTAACAAGCTCCTTTCATTCATAAATATCAGACGAATTACAATAGTTAAATGAGTCGAATAATGGGAAGCCTTTATAAGAACAAGTTGCCTCGGATCACCTCCAAAGGACTTACCACATGCAACTCTGGATTACCTAGCTTGGTGGCACATTGATCACAATCCCTGTTAAATGTCCCTAACATAGGAAGCTTTATGAAAAAACCATAGTTGTTGGAAACGCCTGGGAACCCGAATCGCTTGAGGAACAGGAATTGCAGAATCACGCCTGGCTTGAAGATTCTCGTTTTAGGAATCGTTGTCCATACAATAGGAATCACTGAGAACAAGATTCCTAGTTTTTAGGTTTCGGGTATCTATCGGAGTAGATCCAAGTTTCATCCACATATGGAATCGAGATTCCCATCCCCCTGGAATCGACACTCCAGGAATCAAGATTCATTAATATGTGGAATCAAGTTTTCGACATCTATGGAATCGAGTTTCTGATATATGTGGAACAGAGATATGTTGTTTAGAATCGTGATTCTAACATATTTGGAATCCAATTTCTGAAGTATATGGATCAGAGATCCATGCCGGTTTGAGATTGAGAATTACAATAGTGGAATCGAGCTTCTGACAAATATAGAATCGAGTTCCGACATCTATAGAATCGTGTTTCCGACATATGTGGAACAAAGATATATTGTTGTATAGAATCGTGATGCTAACATATTTGGAATCAAGTTTTTAAAGTATATGGATCAGAGATCCATGCCGGCTTAAGATCGGGAATTACAATAGTATGGACTATGGAATGCGTTTGACGACCCCTACCAAGATTCGAGATTTCATTTTTATGGAGAAGGAAGCCCCAAGCACATCTTGAGCCTTATCAACTTTAGAACCTATATTGGATGTCTTCGGTTAGAAGTTTCCAAAATTTTAAAGTGATTGTGTTGACTATTGAAATTATGGTCATTATAAACAAAAGATAAGTATTTCTAAAATGTGATTTTGACTTAATTATTATAAAGACAAAAATAGGATTATGTCTACGCCACTTCTTTTTTTTTGACAAAAATAGGATTATGTCTACACCATACATTTAATTCCATGTGTTGTGTTTACCAGTTATATTTTAAATTTAAAATAAAGACCGTCCAGGGTGGCACAAGTAAAATAATGAAACCTTGCAACCACCAGAAGCATTAGAAGGAAGATTTCTACTCCAATTTCCTTTGGGAAGTGCAACACCAAGAACCATCATAGACATTGGAAATTATGTACTTTGAATTGGTGTTTTTTTGTTACAACTTACAACTATTATATTTTATTTATTTAGTTAATTTTTGTCCTCAATGAGTACTTGCAACTCGAATGAACTTCCAAATTCAAATATTTATAGCTTTAAAGTACTAAATATGTATGATTGTAATGCCTTTTGCATCTCTAATGTCTTTTGCAGGTAACAATGGCCGTTTTATCTTATAACTAGGGCATCGGACCATTTGATGTTCAATGTAACAAATGAAATTATAGCTTATAACTAGGACAGACCATTTGAAGTCTAAAACCTAGAGGACGTGGCCATTTGATCATTAAGACTTGAGCATTCCACATCTTTACCCTCCTCATGACATGGAACATAGCACTGTATGTTTGGTTTGCACTAAGAATTTTTAATAATATTTAATCTCTAGTTTTTGTTGGCAGTTATAGTCTTGATCTTTCTCACGAAGTGATTGTATAGAATTTTTGTACCTTCAGCACCTTCTTGGTAACATATGACCCATTTAAGGGGTCCCTTTTCTATGTATGTACTTCTTATGCTCAATACAAGTCAACTCTTCTCAAAAAAATAAAAAATAAAAAGATAATCTTATTGTTTTATCCATATGAAGAAACAGAGCCTATTGGCTTTGTTTACAGGATAAGTAGGGTCCATCCCTAATCATGTGCCTTGATTAGTAGTGTGCTAAGACGG